TTTTATAATCAGTAGATCACTATTTCATGGTCTGTTTCTAGCGATTCTCAGATTCTTAATTTTTTGAAATCTCATTTAGGATCAAGGTCTTGTTTTTTAAGTACAATTAAATATTAATATGTTGAGATCATGAGTTATCCTCCAGGATGGTAAAGACAAAGAAAAAAAAGAATCATTATTTTGGAGTTTTTTCACAGTTTCAGAGAATATGGCAGATTGCAAAGTTCTGCATATCTTCGCTTCTTTGCATAAAATGTAAGTTTCTAGCATTTTGGGAAGTAATGTTTAACAGATTGAGGGAAAAAATGAGGCATTTTTCTGTACAGTCGAAGCGGAAGTTTGCTGGTTTTGGGCTTTACGAGTCTCTTTTTCGTTTTTGGTTTTTAACAGCAAGTTTTGCATATTCTTATTAATGCTCTTTATAATTCAAGCTCGTCTGGTGTTTTAACTTCGTTTTTTAACTAGTAGTTTTATTCCGTATGCCTTATTGTGAACGAAGTTTTTTTATTAGATTCTATGGGTAATAAATGTGCAGTGGTTCCGTTGGTTGCTTATTATCATCTCAGTTTTAGCTACCGGTACGGTGTTACTGAACAGTATTTGGCCTGCAATAAAGACGGATCGCAGTCGTTTGGCAAGTCACATTTTTGTTTTACTGCTCGTCAGAAGATTTCCGTCTGCCTGTCATATGTTCTCACTGTTTAGAATTCTACCTTTAAAAATGTGTTTGTTAAGTAGTTCTTTAGTTAACTTGTAGTTGAGAGCATCTTCAGTTAATTTTTTGGTCTTTAAAGTTTTTCAAAGTGTATACTATTTAGGTTTCATTTGGGACTGTATTTTCTGTACTTTTAATACATTGCCTGCTTGCGGTAGCTCTCAAGGAGTATTATTTTGACGTCTCTCAGTCTGTGCGGAAATCGAATGACTACATCCGTTCAGATTCGGCTACTTTAAACGAAAGTGCGAAGATGAACTTACCTGTTTCGGGGAACGTTGTGGGCCAGAAAGTGATTTCCCTACCTCTTAATTCTTCTATTGGACCTGCAGCAGCTTCCAAAAAAAATCTGGCAGATACGACTTTAGTGAAGAACTTGGTCTCTGGACCAGGAGAAGTAAAGACGAATATGTCAATCTCCGAAAACGTTAAAATGAAGTCTAAGAAGTGATGAATATTACTGTTTAGTATTTCTTGTAAGTTTCAGAGCAAGAACAAACGATGTGTGTTCATTGTCGTTGTTTATGAAGTTAAATAAATATTGCTTTTCAGTACGCAATTGTTAGAACAAGAAAATTTCTCTGAAACTTTTAGGACAGAATATATTTTCACTGGTAATATCGTTCAGTGGGGTCATATATATATACACGGCTGTGCAATCCCAGTTTGGTGTGAAAATGTTTTTGACGGCGAGACCAGAATTGTAGTAACGCGGCCGACTGGCAACTTGGGCAACTGTTTGTCTAGGTTCTTATTGGGGCGTTTTTAATAGCCTTGCTGCTGAAAATTTGTGGTGATTTTGGCGTCTTTCGTTCGTCAGATTTCTGGCAATAAGTCGTTTGCTGAATTTTATTGGAATTTAGTTTCCTCGTTGAGTTATTAGCCGAAAGGTGTTATGGCGTTCAATTTTTTGGTTTACTGGTCTTGTCACTTTTCGAGTAAAGATAACTTCTTTTTTTTCCATTCACCTAAAATTTTTTTTCACTTTTGGGTTTTACCGAGTGTTTACCTGAACTAGGGAAATTATTTCGAGAATTAAATTTGAAGTCTTTCAATAATGTACCATGTAGGTTGGAAAGGAGATCTCAGTAGAGTAAGGCTAGTGTAATTTTTCTAATTTGCTGCTGGGGTTCATTTTTTTAGGGCAATACATGTTTCCAAGTTTATTTTAACTCTTACTATTTACAAATATGATTATATATTTATATATATAATCTATTGTAGCTTTTGTTTGGTACTTGAACGAAGACAAAGTTTAAATACGGCAAAAAAAAAAAGACCATCGAATACCACTTTGGCTGCATAAACATTAAGGCTTATTTTTATTACATGGATAATAAGTTTTTTTTTCAGGTAACAGGGGAGTTTTTAAGCAGTAAGTTCTTTTTTAAAATTATTAGATTTCTTTTTTTAAAGTAATGGTTATCTTTTTCTAAGTAATAAGCTTCTTTTGTCTAAAATAACAGTATACGGAAGTCACAAAGCTTCCGATGTCAGACGACCTCTTAGTTATTCGGGCCGTCTGACACTCGACGTCTTCCATTGTCGTAATTGTTTGGCAGACGACGTACCGGGTCATTCAGTTCTGCCAGGGGACACCATATTGCAGCCCCTCCATTCGCTTTATTTTTTTCTTTCTAGCTGTAGGAAACCTAGTCCTTTGAGTCTTCTTCTTTTCCATTTCGCATAAACTAGTGAGGCATAAAATATATTTT